AGTGGGGGAGCATAAGAGGGATTCCAGTCCTGCCTTCTAGCCTCCAAACTTCTGGAAGTGTCTCATCCTTACAGTGTGCTTTCTTCTTATCTTCTGGGCCCACTGCTGCCTACATCCTCTGTGCTCAGGGCTGGTGTCTGTCACATGCTGGACCCTAGTTTCCTCCAGTTCGGGGGGGTCCCCTTATCCTGTAATACTTAGACTATCTCATGTCCCCATCTTACGTAGTAGCTGAATCTGGTTTTCCATACACACCCTTCAAGGGTCACTTTGGCCTAGAAAAGAGAGTTTGCTTCACACCTATTTCCAGAACCCATCTAGACTTCAGCCTGCTTCTCTGCTGTTTCGTGACAACTTTTCTGCCCATTCTAGTATCCCTCGAGGTCACGCAGCAGAGGCAGGGTGAGGCGGGGAACGAATGACTAAGAGCTATAATCCAAGCCACTACATAGGCTAAAGGGGTTAATGTTTAAAATATTTAGAACAATGCCTGACACTAGCCTCTGTATGTATCCGCTGCCATTATTCTATTTACAGACTGGAAACAATTTCCAGTTGAATGTCAGCAGCATTCCTTCTGGAAATTCCTCCGCCATTCCCCACCCCATACTGTTTCTCCATGTCCCTCCACAGACCCCAGCCTCCCATTTAGGGATCTTGCTCCTCAAGACCCTTCCAGGTTTTTTTTTCTTTTTTCAGCACATGCATTATGCTGAGGAACAGAATTTAAAACAAAATTGCCCAACCCAGAAAAACCCCTAAAACCCCTCCACAAAGGTTGCAGAGGAAAGAAAACAGTTGTATAATTGAATAAGCATTCCCAGAATGTGATATGCGTCACAGGCCATCCGCTAAGAGACTGTAAAGATAAAGTAGTCCTTTTATAAAGCAGTACAGCCAAGAGGTGCAGCTGTCACACATATGCCCTCAAGATAAACAGTAAACTAGTCCTCAAAGTAAGAGGCTTGACCGCACCGTTTGTCACACACAGTTCATCCTAACTTTACCTGGTAACTGGTGAGCCTCTGGGTTACTAGTAGGCTTAATCATAGGACTAAGTTCTTGTATCTTTATGATAGGAGATAGTTTTGCAACTTGGTGGAAGGAGCCTACCTCAGTTAAGGTCCTACCCTCCCACTGAAACTGGGAGATGGGGGTGCTACCTCCTGAAATTTCCATTTGAAAGAGATGGCTCTTGGCGGGGGGCCTTGGGAGTGACATTCCTGGGTCAAAAACCAGCAAGAGGCTGGTTTAGCTTCTGAAAAGATTTCCACACATTTCAAAGAGGCACAGGAAGAACTTGTAGCTACAAGTTTTCTAAAGTTAATGCTCCAAAAAAAATAAAAATAAAATAAATAAAAATAAAGCTAATGTGCTAAGAAAAGGGGGAAAGAGGAAGAAGTTTATTATTTTCAGCAGGGAGAATGAAGCTGCTTATTTGTCTTCACAATTACCATTTTGTTGTGTACCTATGCCCCGGGAAGGACCAGGGCCTTGGCCTTGCCAGGCCCTTCACGGTGGGGAGGCCCAGGTGTGCACACCAGAGCCAGACTCTCTCTTCTTCCAGACTCCCAGGGCCCTGTTCTGCAACCCACATTCCCATGACCTCTCTCTGCAGAACAACTTAACTGGACTAAAGCTTCTCTCACCAAGGGGTGTGGGAAAGAGGGATGGACCTTGGCTTTCAAGCCAAAAAGTCTTGCTAAAGTGTTCTAATCACAAGGATAATTTCATCCTCTTCCTTTCCTCTGTGCCAGGGTGGCTCAAACTGCAGTCGGTTAGAGGATAACTCAGTTGTCCCCTCTGCATGAATCTTTGGAACCCATACTTGGCACAGGGCTATAGACATTTGTATTTGTTCCTTGAGGGCAAATTAAACACACAAACACGGCATTATAAACTGTGTAGCTTCGAACCAAACCTAGGATCTGATTTCAGGGCCGACGCTGTAGCACATGTTTTCCATTGAGTCATTTGAGGTCCCACCTGCCCCTGTTTGCACGAAGCCCAGCACTTTCCTCTCTGAGTGGTGTTACTTGCTTCTGTTCTTGTTCAGTGGTCGATTGCGGGAACATTGTTCCTGCACATACTATGGGTCATTTTCTGGTGCTGCAGGGACCACTGCACAGGCCACGACAGTGACGCACACTTGGGCTTCCCAACGCCTGTTCGCACAGGCTTGGGCAAGGGCCCCAAGCATGACTGGTGCCAGGGGCCTGGGTCAGGCCCATGTCCAGCCTCAGCCGCTTAAACCTTTAGGCATTGGTGTTGAACCTGGTCCTTTAACCAGAGAACTTTGCTCACAGAGGGTTCCCTTTTGGTTCTTTCCTGCTGATGGGTCTCTATTGGAACTGATACAGGAAAAAATGTGAGGCAAGAGGATGGCTGTGTCCCAGGTCTCGGATGAGCCCCTGGGATGTGCGTCACCAAGTGTGGGTCCTTGGCTTCTCACAGGAAAGAATTCAAGAGTGAGCCACAGTTGAGTAAGGCTAGATTTATTTAGAGAGATACATACTCCATAGACAGAGTGTGGGCTGTTTCAGAAGGCAAGAGAAAGGCCAGGAGGTGTGGGGGTTGGGTGCTCAGTTTAAAGTAGTTTCACTCCATAGGCAGAGCGCGGGCCACCTCACTCAGAAGTGCGAGTGGCCATGAGGGGTGGGGCGGTTAGTTTTTATGGGCGTGGGAGCTTCATATGCTACCAAGTGGGAGGATTATTCCAACTACTCTGGAGAAGGGGCTGGGATTCCCAGGAATCCAACATCCAACCCCTGGCCTCTCTTTTTCAGGACTGAACTGCAAGGCCAGACCCACAGCATTTTGGGCTTTTTACTCCATCTTGGAGAAACAACGGTTAAGGGACAAATGAGTTGTGGGGTCCATCAGAGGAGAAATTCCACTCCTTCTCTGGGACCCCTGCCAGCATCCCCCAAACCATCCCAAACTCTGTTTATCTTTCTCTTTTTTTCTGATAATCCTACATTACTCAAAATTTTTAATTCACACTGATTTCTAGATAATCTTTTATTTTTTATTGAAGTATAGTCAGTTATAATGTGTCAGTTTCTGGTGTACAGCACAATATCCCAGTCATGCATATATACATACACATATATTCATTTTCATATTCTTTTTCATTAAAGGTTATTACAAGATATTGAATATAGTTCCCTATGCTATATAGAAGAAATTTTTTAAAATCTATTTTTATATATAGTGGTTAACATTTGTAAATCTCAAACTCCCACATATATCCCTTCCCACCCTCTTTTCCCTGGTAACTGTAAGATTGTTTACTGTGTCTGTGAGTTTCTTTCGGTTTTGTAGATGAGTTCATTAGTGTCCTTTTTTTCTTTTTCTTTTTCTTTTAGATTCCACAAATGAGTGATATCCTATGGTATTTTTCTTTCTGTTTCTGGCTTACTTCACTTAGAATAACCTAGATAATTTTCATGTCTTGCCTGCCGCCTGTGATCTCTTTGCTCCATCTTGTGCTGAACCATATTTAAAAGCTATCACTAACCCAGAGCGGATCCATGTAACAGATTTGTACTGAAGGTTTGAGAGGGCAATAGCCAGGGTGGGGAATAGGGTGAGGCGAGTGAGGCACTTACCTTGGGAGCAACATTTAAAGTGTCCCCCCAAAACCTGGTCATCAAGGTAAATAATATTTTAATGCAATATTTGAAAAGATCAAAATTAATGCAAAAATTCACAGTAAACAAAAATATCAAAAATTAAAAAATTTTTTATTGGTTTATAATCATTTTACAATGTTGTGTCAAATTCCAGTGTAGAGAACAATTTTTCAGTCATACATGAACATATATATATTCATTGTCACATTTTTCCCTCTGTGAGCTACCATCAGATCTTGTGTATATTTCCCTGTGCGGTACAGTGTAATCTTGTTTATCTATTTTACAGTTTTGAAATCCCATCTATCCCTCAAAATTTTAAATAAAGACAAGATCAGTTGTAAGACTGAATATTAGCCATCTACGTATATTCTCCACATTTTTTTTTTGCCATTTTCTGCCACCAGAAATCTCTCTCTGGTTGGCTTGATCCCCAGCACCCCCATACCCAACTCAGGATTAATGGGGGCCGTTTGTGGGCTTCTCATGCAGATTTTTCAATCAGTCCTACTGTGTTCAGCTTTACCTGCACCGCTATCTTCGGGGATCACTGATACTCCAGTTGCTGAGCCTTTCTGGGTATCTGTGCTCACTGGCCCACATGTATGTACCCTGTAGTCATCTGCCCTTTAACTTTCTCTGGTCTGCCAAGTTAATTACCACTTGTCCATCTGCTTTAAGCTTCCAAAATATGGACATGATCTGTTATCTACTCTTATCTCCATTCTCTTTGTAGTTATGCTTTTTAAAAAATTCCTTGCCTGTTGTTTTAGTGGAGGGAGGAATGAGAGCAAAGAAAGGAGCAGAGATTCAATCCTTCATGATTAATTGCAAGAACATTCTTTGTTTCAATAGCGCCATTCTTTCACTTGTTTCCAGTCTCTCCTTCTTTAGCTTTTACATAGATGTTGGAACTTCCGGATTTTTTCCCCCATGTCCCTCA